GGAAAGGAAAGAAAACAAAAGACAGGAATGAGGACCTTCAATACTTTGGGAAGAACCGTCCTGGAAGGTTAGAAACTTACTTCTACGGATGAAATCATTAAATACATCTAAGGTATCTCTTGCAACAGTATCTTTCTTTTTTTTTAAGATTTTATTTACTTATTGGACAGACAGAGATCACAAGCAGGCAGAGAAAGAGAGGAGGAAGCAGGCTCCCCGCAGAGCAGAGAGCCCCACGTGGGGCTCAATCCCAGGACTCTGGAATCACGATCTGAGCCAAAGGCAGAGGCTTTAAAACACTGAACCACCCGGGCACCCCACTACAGTATCTTTACTCTATTTTGAGAACATGTATACCGAGGGAATGTAATAATGTATATGAGCCAGTTAAAGCTTCTTAAGGGGCAGTCGGCTGTCCAATACCCATACCTCAGGGATGGTGGGCCAGCACTATGTAGGAAAGGCCGTACTTCCTCAATTGCTTTCATGAGTGTTCTGTAGTTTTCTGAGTACAGATCCTTTACCTCTTTGGTTAGGTTTATTCCTAGGTATCTTATGGTTTGGGGTGCAATTATAAATGGGATTGATTCCTTAATTTCTCTTTCTTCTGTCTCATTATTGGTGTATAGAAATGCAACTGATTTCTGTACCTTGCTCTTACATCCTGCCACATTGCTGAATTCCTGATCACAGGCAGGGAAAAGAAGGGAAAACTGAATGGGAGGTCATCAGAGAGGGAGCAAAACCATGAGAGATTCTGGACTCTGGGAAACCAACTGAGTGTTGCTGGAGGGGTGGTGGGTGGGGGGATGGGGTAACTGGGTGATGGGCATTAAGTAGGACATGTGATCTGATGGGCACTGGGTGTTCTATGCGACTGATGAATCACTGACCTCTACCCCTGAAACTAACGATGTACTATATGTCACCCAATTGAATTTAGTTAACCTATAATGTATTATTTGTTTCAGGGGTACAGGTCTGGGAATCATCAGGCTTACACAATTTCCTACCTCTGTGATGCGTCTGTAACAAACTGGAACAAACCTTTCAGACAAGATATTGATGAGAGTAGCAAAAGGACAGAGAGCTAGGTACCCTCAGGTTTACCAAGCAGGCTTTTCAACCTGTTTAATTTCCTGGCCAATAAATAGTTGATAGATATCTATATATAGATATAGATATAGATATCGATATCGATATATGGAGGAGAATTACATCAGAAACTTGTTTCCATCTGACGTGATAGTAGAGTTACTCTGCACACCGTGTACGCGCAAACTCTCCACTTTGCCCTTGCTGCCCCGGCAATGTTAGTCACAGCGCCCCCTTCCACTCTCAAAGGTATCACAGTTTGTATGATAAGTTACATGAATATTCTACCTACTAGTGAGACCTTGGGGATAAAACTGAGCCTTATGAAATTTCAAAGTGCCCCGCAGCTACTATTTCCTATGAAAATGGTCCTGGAGCTGTGACTATCACACCGACTCCCAAAATACGGATAGAGTGCTGTATGCACACCTCCATCTCTTTTCACAAAACTCAGCTTCAAAGCTGTAGGGTAACTCCCATCATGAAAATAGCAGGCTAGGGGGTGTGAATCGAGCCTCCCACTGAGAGTGATTTAAAATGTGGGATAAAATATATTCATCAAATATCTGAACAAGCATCAGGGAGCAGCCAAGAGAGGAAACAGCAGGCTAAAGAAGAGAGAATGCAGGAAAACGAGCCAGTTCAGAAACTGTAAGGCCTATCCCAACGAATCCGAACTTTCTGTTGATAGCCTGAAGAGCCGAAGGCCGAAGGTTAAAGCTCAAGGCCCACCCAAACAAAGTAGAGGTTCTAGACTTCCATGACAGTAAAGGAGAACTCGAAGGGCTGTGCGCCCAGGGGAACCAACTCAGGCTGGGGAGGAGAAGTCAGCAAGGCCGCAGGGGATCCCGCGAGCCTGATTTCAGGAGAGCCTAAAGCCATAAGGACCCTAAGCTCTAGCACACTAGGTAAATAAATCATTTCTGCAAAGCACCTTCATCCTTGACTTTAAATTCTTCTAAACCACTGGAGTGTTTTTGTTTTGTTTTTTTCCAGAGGGGACACACCACAGTTTTACCCTTCCCGTTGGAAAACTGGGATACTTTACAGGATAGTTTAGAAGTTGCCAGACACATTTACAACTGCGTTAGAGCCGCTCAGGTCTTCCCTGTAACCTTGTGTGCGTGGGCACACACGGGTAAGTATCTGGGCCTGCCTCGCCTGTATTACCACATGAGTAAACTCAGTCAAGAAACCCATCCTTTCTTCCCTCTCCACCCTGTGACTGTGTGTGACACTCCACATGTGCTATTGTAGAAAAAAACCTTTGAGTCTGAGCTGGGTGTGGTGTTCCGCGGATATGGCGGCAAGACCACAATTAGACTTCTGGCACCTCTAGTCCAAACCTTCCACGCTAATTACTCTAACGCAGAACTTTAAAAATAGAAACATTACAAAGTAAGCCCAACCCTAGCCTTTTCTGGAGTTGTGGTGAGGGAAAAGAGAAAAAGAGGGAAAAAAACTTCCTGCTGTTCTACAATGTTGCACATACTTTGTTTTCAAGATACCAAGGCTAGTTGTAGACCAAGTGCCATCTTGAAAAAGTAGCTCCCGTGATGAAAAAGAACAGGCCCAGAGGGTGAAGAAGACTGGGCCCCAGTTTAGACTGCTCCGCAAATGGGCTCTGCGACCTTGGAAGAGAAACCTAACCACCAAAAGGTCTCCGTTTGCTCCTCTAGAAGATGATACCGGAGGTCTGGATAAAGTCTGTGGCTGCTTCTCCAACCAAAATCCATGATGTTTATGCTTCTGTGGATTTCTCCGTGGAGGCCTATCCTGATAGAAGTCAAGTTTATTCTAGAGGCCACAAGTGATTCACACATGTACATCACGGTTCCAGACAACACACGGAGACAGACAGGACTTATTCACTGCAAGGCATCCCACTTGCTCCTTCAGTCTTAAACCCAAAGGCGGCTGTTTTTTTTAGAAAACCGTGTACAGGGTTTCAAAGTGACTCAAGCAATCACTTCACATCCTAATAGGATAAAGTTTATGCATAATTCTGTGTGACCCTTCAACTACTGACGTTCACGCCGTGTTATTGTTAGCATTGCATGTTAAGCTAGCAAATTTTCAATGAACTCTCACTGGCTTTACCACAGACACAGATGTTAGGTGGACTCCTTTGCTCATAAGGTTCTCATTATTAACTCAGCCCGGCCTGAATATTTGACTGAAGGAAAGGACCATATCATTATTTTCAGATTTCATTCTATGACTTCACCGGGATCCATCTGCCAGCTTTAGAAACGCCAAGTACTTCTGGGCGCCAGCCTTGGCGTCCTGTTCTATGACTGCTCCCCCCAATGCTTCAGTTTGAGGAAGTCTCCTCCCCATCAAAACAGTTTAATAAAAACTTAAATTATGATTAAGAGTTACTCATCAACTGACAGAGCGTACCAGGCCTGTGCTATTTATGAATTATTCCTCACAATATTTTAAGGCTAACAAATAGAATCCACATTCATACAGGGGTGAGCTAGAAAGCCAGTTAAATGTTTTCATGATTTATAAAGTCTGTGTTCTACTTGAAACCATATTTCTTTAATAGGTAAACTGGCATTCCACTGGATAATTCAATCTGCTTTAAATCTACTCTAAGGCTCTGAACAGCTTATGGGGGGGTTCCGAGTAGATCTCCTCTATGCACCTTTGGGCAATATCTCTCAGCATAAATGTGATAGGAAGATACAGCACAGGAATGCCTGTCAATTACAGGGCAAATTTCAAGTCCTTAAAACGCTGACACTAAAACCACTTAGAAAACATTAAAATCAGCCCAACTCTAAACATAGGGAGTATGTTTTAAGCCTGGTTAAAGATAGAAATTAAAACAACAACATAAAAGTAATAACAAAAGGTCTTGATATTACTGCTTCCCTGGGTCTGGACAACAGTAATATACGTGGGCAAGCATCATTTGAAACTATCTTTGATGGATATTAGAAAAAATAACTCAATCCCTCTAGGCATAGAAAAGCCCAGGGGTTTACATATAGTTAATAACTGAAGAGTTATTCAAATCAACTATTTGAATAATAGTTATTCAACTTTTATTCAGTTATTAGATAACCAATTAATAGTTATTCCATTATTATTCAGTTACTAAATAAATGAATTAATGTTATCCAAATTCAAATATCCAAATAACTGAAAGAAGAGGGACGGTTTTCCACCCTAAGAAGTTATACATAATAAATGTGATTTTGTGATTCTTTCTGTATCTCATCATATCTCGGAACAGGAAGACTAAGAGAACATGCCCCCTCACTTGTCCAATGCTTTATCGACATCAGCGACAAACAATCATTCAGCCTTTTGAACGCTTGAGTTTTCATCTAATTACTATGCATGGCAATCCAGTCTACTATTCAATGTCTCTAATCCTAAAAACATTCTTAAAATAGTAACAATCAAAACAAGCATCCGTGTCACTCCTACCCTGATTGAAACCAATCTGTTAGAAAATTCATGTTAGCTCATCAAACACCTACGATTCCAGTTTTCTGTACTTATCTCTCCAGTACACTCTCTTCAGGTATTTTCAATGGCTGAGACATACCCCACTATCACTCCTATTTTTGAGTCACTCTTTGAACTAAATACCTCAGATACAGTCTAATTAGCTACAGAGCACAGTGGGACCAGTATTTCAGATGAATTAAAAGAGAACTATTTATTAATGTAGACTAAATATGTCCCATGGGAATTAGGCTTTTAGCAAAACATAGAAACAACATAAAAGTCAAGTTACTGGTAACCCCTCCAAAACCGATCATCACAGGTAGCATTTACAGAAACATACTAATCTCAAAAACTCTAAAATAACTTTAACACCAAACCGCACATCCTTCAGCCCATATTTAGGTATTCAAAAGCTCAATTTTTATTTTTCTACTTACCATGTTGTATATCTTTCATATCTAAATGAAGGCTAGACATTAATATTCCAACTGCTTGTGATCTTTTGTTGCTTAATAACTTGACCACCTGACCAAAGAAAGGAAAAGAGGAAAATGTTAATTTGTGATATGCTCAATAACATGTCCTTTTTAACCCTAAATGAACAACGTACAGCTTAAAGTCTAGTATTCAAAAACTGATCTGAAAAGAACTTTTGTGTTTTATGTCTTCCATCTTCAAAATCAACTGTCTTCACCCATTAGCCTCAATGGCAAGCTCTTTACCAGTCTTTTGAGAGACTGTCAGTGAGTAAAATTTCTAATAGTTCAGGAAAGTAGTTTGGTCTCTATGAAATAACAATTACACATTTGATAATTCGTAGCTTGAGATTTTAAAAGTGTCCCCCCCCCTTTTTTTTTGAGCACAGAAGGCCTTTATTTTTTTTTCCATCTTATTTTATTTCTTTTCAGCGTTCCAAAATCATTGTTTATGCACCCCACCCAGTGCTCCATGCAATCCGTGCCCTCCTTAATACCCACCACCAGGCTCATCCAACCCCCCATGATCCTCCCCTTCAAAACCCTCAGTTTGTTTCTCAGAGTCCCTTTCATGATGTCGGGCCTTAAAACTCTGGTCAGCAGGTGAAGGTAAAGCCTACACCCAGGGCATCTGTTACATCAGACCTGTCTGAGCACAAAGTGGAAACGCGCTTTGATTCTGGTCCTTCAGAAAGCTATTTACCTGGCAGTCCCTCTCATTCTGCCAACATTCATTCTCCCTCTCATTCTGCATTTGGCCAGCATTTTGTGGGGAGCTTTCCAACTAATTAATAGAGGAAAACAAGCAGCAAACTCAAAGGGTTACGTCTGCTTCATCTCAAATCTGGCTTTCCAGAGAGTTCTAACGAGTCAGTCAATCCACACACCCCACAAGAAGTCTTCCTAAAACAGAGGTAGGCATCCTGCTGTTGGACATACACACTTAAACTATGTTTTCCAGATGCTGACACAGCACCGATAAATCCTGCTTATGAAACCATTATCGGAGGTCCTGAAGGGCAGCAAGTTCTATGTACTGTCATGGTTTTGTTATAAGTCTGTTTCAAAAAAACACCGGAGGAAAAGGGGGAATAAAAGGTTCCAATCAGATTATCAGAAGTGACAGCTGCCCGAACATCTATCACGTTTGTTGACCTTGTCTTTCTTTTTGGTTTAGGTTGGGCCAATCAGTAAACTAATAAAATAATCATGCCCAGCTGTCACACTAAGTCCGAGTAAAACAATATTCTTAATAGCAGTACTAGCATTCTTGGTTCCCCAGCCGGGATGAGGGCGGAGAATAAGACAAACGCTTCAGAAGGGCCAACCACAACCTCCCCCACACGCATTTCTACAAGCTTCTCGCAGAAAGGACTGACACCTCACAAGGGACTGTGCTTCCTCAAAAGAAGGTATATGTACACACACACACACACACACACACACACACACACACACACACTTTGATTAACTTGCTCTTTAAACGTTTTATGAAAGTTCAGCTAAAATATTAGAACTTAAATATGAATCCATTCATCCCCCAAGGATTTCTATCAATATAGTTCTCTTCTTCAGAAGTGCACAGAAACTTATTAACAGAAAAACAAAAGGCGTGTATTCTGACCTCAGAAACACTTTCTAGGGGATCCTGGGTGGCTCAGTGGGTTAAGCCTCTACCTTCCGCTCAGGTCATGATTCCAGGGTCCTGGGATCAAGCCCCACATTCTGCTCTCTGCTCAGCAGGGAGCCTGCCTCCCCCGCCCCCTGCCGCCTGCCTCTCTGCCTACTTGTGATCTCACTCTCTGTCAAATAAATAAATAAAATCTTTAAAAAAAAAGAAAAAGAAAGAAAGAAAGAAAGAAACACTTTGTAACTCCAGGTAGATACCATCTGGGTCCCATCCGTGATGCTCTGACAAAAGTGAATGGATCTGCACCCATATGTCAATGGACTGTTCTGCCGTACAACAGGCTGATCACACCCTCTCAGACGCTCCTGACTCTGCAGCTTCTGGCAGCCCTTCTCAGGCCTTTTCAAGGTGAATTATTCTGATTTTCCCTTAAACACAGGCATATTTCAGAGTTCTGTTCTCAGCACTTTATTCTGTTCACTTTATGACCTATAATTTCTCCTCTATAGACATACATGCCAGCACTTATAAATTCATTCTTGTAAGTGTATCTTCAACTCTACAGTATCCTACTTTCCTAACAGATATCTGCACATAAATCTCTATTGGACATGTCTAAAACCAAACTCGTCATCAGGTCCACCCCAAAACCTATCCATCTTCTCTTCTTTTTCCATGTGCTGAAATAATGGCGCCACCATTTTCCACCCACTGACTAACGTCAGAAATCAGCCTAGACTCTTAATCTACTTCATCTGAATACTGTGGTCTGCTAACAAATCCTGTCAATTAGAACTCCTTCAAATTTTTGGAACCCATCCTTCCTCTTCAACTCTGTTGTCAGAGTTTATTTCTATGCTTTATCTTATAGAGATCAATGGGAAAAATTTCCAACTAGCCTCCCAAATCTAGTGCAGTAGCTCTCAAAGTGTGCTCCCTGGACCAGCGGGCATGATCATCACCTGGGCACTTACGAAAAATGCAAAATCTTGGACGCTGTCACAAACCTACTAACCAGAAAGTGTGGGCATCAGATTTTTCCTCAATCTGCACTTCAAAAAACCTTTTAAGTGACTCTAGAATCATTGATGACTCTCATTGCTTCCGTCCATTCTCCAAACTGATACCCAAGTACCATCTCTAAGACTGATATTTGCACGTCTTTCCTTGCTCGTTAAACCTGAGTGGCTCATATTTACATGTTAGTGTTTTATTTTTTTTTTAAAGATTTTATTTATTTGACAGAGAGAGAGAGATCACAAGTAGGCAGAGAGGCAGGCAGAGAGAGGGGAGAAGAAGTTTCCCAGCCGAGCAGAGAACCCAGTGTGGGGCTCGATCCCGGGACCCTGGGATAATGAGCTGAGCCAATGGTAGAGGCTTAACCCACTGAGGCACCCAGGCGACCCTACATATTAATGTTTTAAAAGGTTGTACAGATTTCCAGCCCATGACCATGGACTATCTTTCCATTTCTTTTGTCATCTTCAATTTCTTTCATTAATTTGTTATTGTTCTCACAGTATAGACTGGAAGAATTAATATTATTAAAATGTCTGTACTACCCAAGGAAATCTACAGATTCAATGCAATCCCTATCAACATACCAATAGAATTTTTCACAACACTAGAACAAATAGTCCTAAAATTAGTATGGAACCACAAAAGACCATGAGTAGCTAAAGCAATCTTGGAAAAGAACAACAAAAGTAGAGGTATCACAATCCCAGATTTCAAGACATACCACAAAGCTATAATAATCAAAACAGTATGGCACAAAAACAGACACATAGATCAATGTAACAGACTAGAAAACCCAGAAATAAACCCACAATTATATGATCAATTAACCTACAACATAAGAGATTAAAAATATACAATGGGGTAGTTCTATTTTCAACATTTTGAGGAACCTCCATGCTGTTTTCCAGAGTGGTTGCACCAGCTTGCATTCCCACCAACAGTGTAGGAGGGTTCCCCTTTCTCCGCATCCTCGCCAGCATCTGTCATTTCCTGACTTGTTAATTTTAGCCATTCTGACTGGCGTGAGGTGGTATCTCATTGTGGTTTTGATTTGTATTTCCCTGATGCCGAGTGATGTGGAGCACTTTTTCATGTGTCTGTTGGCCATCTGGATGTCTTCTTTGCAGAAATGTCTGTTCATGTCCTCTGCCCATTTCTTGATTGGATTATTTGTTCTTTGGGTATTGAGTTTGCTAAGTTCTTTATAGATTTTGGACACTAGCCCTTTATCTGATATGTCATTTGCAAATATCTTCTCCCATTCTGTCAGTTGTCTTTTGGTTTTGTGAACTGTTTCCTTTGCTGTGCAAAAGCTTTTGATCTTGATAAAATCCCAATAGTTCATTTTTACCCTTGCTTCCCTTGCCTTTGGCGATGCACTGCTGGGTATTTACCCTAAAGATACGAACGTAGTGATCTGAAGGGGCACGTGCACCCGAATGTTTATAGCAGCAATGTCTACAATAGCCAAACTATGGAAAGAACCTAGATGTCCATCAACAGATGAATGGATAAAGAAGATGTGGTATATATACACAATGGAATACTATGCAGCCATCAAAAGAAATGAAATCTTGCCATTTGTGACGATGTGGATGGAACTAGAGGGTATCATGATTAGTGAAATAAGTCAATCGGAGAAAGACAACTATCATATGATCTCCCTGATATGAGGAAGTTGAGATGCAACATGGGGGGTTATGGGGGTAGGAGAAGAATAAATGAAACAAGATGGGATTGGGAGGGAGACAAACCATAAGTGACTCTTAATCTCACAAAACAAACTGAGGGTTGATGGGGGGAGTGGGGTTGGGAGATGGGGGGTGGGGTTATGGACATTGGGGAGGGTATGTGCTATAGTGAGTGCTATGAAGTGTGTAAACCGGGCAATTCACAGACCTGTACCCCTGGGGATAAAAATATATGTTTATAAAAAATAAAATTAAAAAAAAATATATATATATATACACAATGGGGTAAAGATAGTCTCTTCCATAAATGATGCTGTGAAAACTGGACAGCTACATGCAGAAGAATGAAACTAGACAAGTTTCTTACACCATACACAAAAACAAACTCAAAGTGGATTAAAGACCTACATGTGAGACCTGGAACCATAAAACTCCCAGAAAAGCAACATAGGCAGTAATCTCTTTGGCATGGGCTTTAGCAACATTTTTGTAGATATGTCTCCTCAGGTAAAGGAAACAAAAGCAAAACTAGATTAGAACTATACCAAAATAAAGAGCTTTAGCATATGAAGGAAGCCATCAACAAAATGAAAAGGTAACCTACTGAATGGGAGAAGATGTTGGCAAGTGATATATCCAATAATAAAAAAAGAACTTATATAACTCAATACCGATAATAATAATTACCAAGTAATAAATGGGCGGAGA